AGAACATTCATTATGCTCTGGGAGATCGTCTGAAAATCAAATCGATTATTTGTTGCAAAACATTATATAGTTGAACAGAACGCGTTATGATATGTCATCCCACAACGATTTACCGCCTCATCGTAGCTGGGAGGTGTTCCTCGGTGCCGGGCTGCGATGTACAGTGGTGGGATTCATCTCCCAAACCGAGAAGGAGTCCAGCGTTTCCATCAGGAAACTCAGCTAGGAGTAAACTAGTGTCAGGATTCACCATCGTCCGTGTATAAAACTAGTCGCGTGGTGGCAAATTTCTCTCTGATCCACAAGAGGTGAGACTTCCTGTGGTGGCGACGACCTGGGGCAGACCTTGGCCAGGGTGAGCTCGGGACTCCAGGGAACCACAGTGGCTGAACCAGCAAAACTCCGAAACAAAGAAAATTATGCTGGGGTCCGCACAACCAGTGAAGGCAGACCCTCTAAGTATCCAAGTAAGTGAGTATGATCCGTCAATACACCATGCGGATACATCTTTTCCACTAATAATTTCCTATTCCAATTAGTAAAAGAACATAACGGTGGGACGGTGATAGTGCTGAGGCAGTTCACCATCGCACCACAATGGTGGCCTGAATCGATGGAGAGGAAAAACTTGTCGCTCTGACGAAAACATTGTCCCGCTCCGAATTCTACGACGAAAAGAAAGCAAACTAGAGCCATTGAGAGCTAATTCTTTCAAAACACATAACTGTACTTTCAGGTTCGATTGTTCTTCTATGGAAAAGTGAGCTTGGGATGCAGGCGCTAAGCGTAGAACATAAAGTAGTTTGATGCAATCACTATCAAGAAAACCAACCAGTCATGCAATCAATAAGCAGAAATCGAATGACGTTCCATAAAATTCTGGTGGTAAGGACAAGATCAATGTACGTTAGTTCATTGATAAGCTAACACGAGGTTCTTACCAAATATTTATTTCTAACAATCTCGTTTTAACTAATCAATGAAATAACGCTGCTCCAGGTCGTCACCACCGCTGGTAGTCGCCGCACTTGTGGATCAGAGGGAGATTTACCACCTTGCGGCTAGTTTGATACCAGGACGGTAATGGATTCTGATACTGGTTTACTCTCAACTAGGCTTCCTGATGGAAACGCCGGACTCCTTCCCAACTTGGGAAACCCTACCAGTGGTGAATCCCCCCCCCCCCTCCCCCCCCCATTATACATCGCAGCCCGACGAAGAACACCCAGCTACGGTGGGGCGGTGTAAACCGTTGGGAAGCTTGGTTCGAAAACCGCCATTCGAAAAGTAAGAAAAAAAATTTTGTACCAATAATCAATAGTGCTAACAAGTTAAATTTCAAGCTAAACAAATCGTTTATGCAAATAATCACGTCTTAATCCCCTCGCTCGTGTCCATTCTGTCTTCGACTCTGATCTCCACTACTATAAACTGAATACTCACAATGCCATAATATTAGAATCGAATATTTTTGGCGTATACGAAAACGAATGCTATTTCCTATAGCTTGTAACAGAGATAGTAATGAACTATCGTGTTCCTTAGTACTAAGTAGTGCTTACTCATAAGTGTTCATTGGAGTAGTGGACGGCGGTCATCTTTGGACGAGTTTCCTTCCACTCCACGAGTTGTCACGCATGTTCGTAGAGCATGCATTGGCAGTAATCGTCTTAAATCTTCATCTTCAGTATTCTTGCACTTTCATTGCTGCAGGTTCAGATTTCGTACTACAAATGGATATCAGCATAGAAATCCTCTTAGTGGCTTGTACCTCATCGTGCCTCGGAGTGTTTCTCGATTTTCAGTCGGGGTTCATCTCCCCTCTCCTATGGATGGACCATTTCCAGGAATCAATGCGCTATAGAAGCAACTTGGGCAGTAACTACTTGGAAAGGGCCTGAGAAAGTCCTATAACATGTTTCAGAATCCCAGAAAAAGGCAGTAATTTCCATGAAGCGGGTCACCAATGAAGTGGAGATTGCGCTGGTTGCCGTGATATCCTTCACTATTCATGAGTACCTACGATTGCAGTGTTCACGTATTCACTCATAGTTCGCAAACAATTTTCAGTTATGTGCTTATATTCGTTTATTTGGTATTTTAATCCCTAGGTTATATTACTGATCATTCCAAGAATACTAACCGAGCTCAATGAAAGAGGGGGTAACCTGTGTTCTCCCGCATGTGACTGACCTATATATGGGTCGTATTTTGGTCAATGGGTAGGTCAATTTCAAAACGTAGTGGATACAAATCCAAGTCTACACGTTATGCGATTGATAGTGAGCTCTTCAAATATCTTAGATTTATTTTGTCGTAATCAAAATGTATTATCCTTTTCTGGTGAGATAGTGTGCTTTGCTTCAGTTTAATCAATAAGTAGAAAGTACATTCAGAGAGACAAAAGGCAGCCAATTTAGTGCCAGGTTCGCTGCTGTTCTCATCTTAAACTCACATCTGATATACTGGTCTTTGTGATAATGCTTCGCGTAAGATATACGTCTACTCGAACTTTCGGCTTTCCATAAACTTGGTCACGATGAGGCGGTAAACCGTTGGGAGAGACGACCTTCCTCAGTGTTTGTGTATATATTGCCTTTCATACATGCGTCTTGACCATCACATGGTTAACCTAGGTGGCTAAACTTGTCTATAGAAAGAGCACTTATGTAAAGCTGGAGGAGCAAATTCGAGTCTATTGGTAAATGTCTAAACAATCGTCACCGCAGTTGTAGGAAGCATTGGACGGCTTCTTTTCTACTCCAAATGTAAATCGACCTTTCGTGACATTACAGTTGTACTTGTTATGTTAAACACGATGTGGTTGCCTGATTGTTTTTGTTTAAGTGTAACTAGGAGGGTCCTTAATGTTGTTCTTTTACCAACTGGACGAACAGCACGCAGTTTCCCACCCTCCAGGTCGCCATTCAGGTCATGCGCAACTGAAAGTTGCGATTTCTCATTTTCTCACGTACATGGCTGATCTCAGTCAAATTCCTCCACCTATTGCCACAGTCTAATTTTCGAAGATTCTTCTCTTTTTTATCAATGTTTTGTCCTTCGAAATACGCGCTTTTGTTCCAATGGAGCCATCTTTAAGATCTCGCACATGTTTTATTGTGTTTTATCGTTGTTGAGTTCAACAGTAACCTTTCTTATGAGGGGTGGTGTTTTGAGTTTTGATGGAATTCTATTCGATGACGGGCCAATCTTGTCATTAAAGTTCAAGTGGGGTTAATTGTTTGAACTGATCTTTCTACTCTGTTATTATGTTATGTCTCGGTACTGGATATTTCGAGATCTGGTCAAGTTCCCATCTTTTCCTCTACTTTGTCGATTTCTGGTCAATAGAATGGCTTGCGTTCACTCATAAAGTATCGAATGCTGTCGATTATTTGATCGGATCGGTACTGTACTTGTTTACATCATTTCTTGTTAGTTGGCACCGAGGTGTTAAAAATGTCTTCTCAAAACTTCACATAATACTCACTATTTACATAATTATTCAAGCCTTTAATTAAGAAGGACTAACATCGCGATCAGCTTTCCGACGTCACTGTCACTTATTTAACCCTTTTGGTAAGCACAACCGCTTTGTTGTCTTTAACCCTAGATTGTTTTTTCCTGGACTTTGTTTCTACACTGATCATTTTCATTTCCAGAAATATGTACCGTTTGATATTCCTGTTCTACTGTTTGAATGCAGCGTCAGTGTCCCGGAAAGAGCAATTGCTTTCTGATATTAGCAAATTTACCATTCAAATGGTTGGATACTCACCGGTTCAGGTAACTTGAGTATTTTCTACGTCACATTCTGGAAGAGGTCGCGGTCGCAGTTCTCATTTTCTAAATTTCGCATTTATTTCTATTAATAACATATTTATAATAACAGGCAAAGGAAGTCATTTAGTTGATTATCATAAAATGTTGACAAATGGTCATGATTTATGCGAATATTCACTCAAATTCTTTCTTTTTTTTAAAGTTTTGTACGACCCGTCTCCACGTCTACTGTGCGGATCTCAGCACTTCTCACATTCGATTCGTTTCCTGGCATCCATTATCCACTAAGGTTTTCCAACTCTTTAGGAGTGGCTCCGGCAGCTGCTTGAGGATTTTTCATTTCATCTTGAATGTCGTAGAATGTTGGTCGAGTCGATGCGTTCTCACTTTAGTCCTGAGATAGCCGGCTAAAAGCATTCCCAATTGGATTGCAGAGAGTGGTTTTTCCCGTACAAATCCGGTACCAATTTCCCGACCCCGGAGAGATGAGAGGCTTGGTTGTCCCGTAGTGGAATCGAACTAACAACATACACGTGATGACCGAAATCGTTACCACTGTGCTATCCACCCACTTAAATTCTTCTTTTGACTTTCGAAAACAGTGTAGAATATGCTTGTAGTGATCATTTCTTACGAAATTTCGAATGTAAAGTCCTTCAGGACCAAGTAACTAAAGTTTACAGTTCCCATCGTTAAGTTCGGTTAGGAGTAAAACTATATCATTGCAACACTTATCGAGCAACCTCTCGGCAGCTTATGACAAACAGCGGAAATGTAAGTCCTGAGGAAATTTCTGAGATGTTGTTGAAGCGGTAGGGGTCAGTTGGGCAGTTCGCAAGCGTTATGGAGAATGGTAGAGAATTTATTGGTGCTCGCTTATCTCAATAAATGAAATTGAAGGCAGTGCGTAGAAGTAGCGATGTGACGGTTGGGTATCCACTAACACTTTCTTACTCTAACTGATAAACGTGGTATTTTAGTAAGATATTTACGAAAACTAGCTAATATTCCTTAGAACATCGTGGTTGTATCATGGAAAAAATTATTCTAAGTTATATCTATATGGAAAGTTATATATATATATATATATATATATATATATATGTACATATTAATATATATAGGTGTGTCTTACTTTGCCACCTAATTTTGCATATTTTGAGCCTTTCTCTATCTGTTTTGCTGTGAAAAGACAAAATTGATATTACATTCTGGCGTTCCTACTCTTTTCACTCAAAAGTATAGGATTTTCTTCTCTTTCAGAGCGACGACTATGTTGCGGTGTCTAGACAAGCACCTGAAGGATACATTGGTAAGCATTAAAAAGCACGTTAATGCCTTGTAATTGTTTCTAGTTTTTTTTTTCTTTTGAACTTGCTGTCTACCCTACCTGCCCATGTCTAGGTGACATTCTGTACTTTCTTGTTCTAGTTGGCTTTGAACCATTCGCACATGCCGATCGAGTGCACCATATGCTTTTGTACGGTTGCGCGGAACCGGCTCTCACCAGGACTTTCTGGAAAGGTTACATGACCTGTGGACCTGGAGTAGCTCACATTTTGTATGCATGGGCAAAGAATGGTAAGTTCGACCGTCGTTGCTGAAAGGTCTAAAATACTCGTTCTAGTTGGCTTCCAAGGTCATAGGTTTGTAAATGTAAGTTTTTAAAAATATCTTTGAAAAATATAGACAATATGACCTACATACGGCATACGTGGTCGGAATTTATGTGAGTTTTTAACTTCAAGCGCAGCAATTCTACACATTTTTAATAATATAATACAAATTTACTCATTTCATAGTTACAGATTTATTCTGGTGTTCTCGCTTTTTATCCTCTAAGTTTGTATCTCAAGCAGTGAAGCAAATGAGCAAATAGGATTTGGTGTATTATGAAAAAACTTGGTAATAAATTAACTAAGTAACGATTTCAGGACAGTTAACCCTTCCAGTTCTCATCGTTTCTAATGCTGTGATAGATTTAAAAGGTTTAGAGGAGATTTAGTCATTGCATCTGTGCTAGGTTGTGTGATCACAGGTGCAACGCTCGAAGTTCATAATGGTTCAAACAAATGTGAAACTCAACTATGCAGTATCAACCTGAGTGTAGATTTGTAGTTGCCATTCTTGGCAAAGCTCTCACTAGACAAAGTAGCTACAACGAGATCCACTGGTGAGCAAAACCGGGTAAATGTTTACGATCGATATCCATACATTCTTCGATTACCTTCGATCAATATGCCCGTGTTTTCTTCATTCAAAGCTTGTTATGAGTGAATCAATGTATCGTTGCACTTCTCTTCTTATGTTACGTTGCAGTATACTTTGTCGTGACATTTTTACAAGTGAAAGGAATGACCACGTAGGCGTATACAATGGTACCTACTCCTTCGTTATCGTACTGTTCCAAATTCGACGAAGTGTCTAAGATGTTTTCAAGTTGCGATCTCCTGTAAGGCGTGCGGAGACGAATACATTGACGAAACGGGTAGACCACTCCGTGTCCGCGTAAAAGAACACCTAGTCGGCAAACGTAAACCGAATACCCCACTAGGCACGCATAGGACCCAGAGACATAATGGGGAGGACTTTGGAGGAATGCCATTATCTCGTTATCACGCGTGATATTAGGCAATATGTAATCCTGTTATTCTGATGAGATAGGCACATTACGCTTCCATGTGAATTCTGTGCAGTTGGTCTCCACGTGACATATTTAGTGGAAGACTCATAGAAAGCGGCGAGTGTGCAAAGACTCTGTGTTCAATGTGATTGAGATGTTGGTTCAGCATTTTCTCTATTTGGTTATGCAGGTGTTTGGCCGTGTAGATTGCAGCCAACTTAACCTTTCCAAGCTCTGAGGAAGGTGAAATCTGCCGAAGGGTTAGCTTGTACGTAAATAAAGAAATAAAATGACACCTCGTGTTTGCTAAACAAAAGTAGAAAGAATTTTTCAATCAATGCCGAAGTTAATAGAAAGTCGGACGTGGGAGCTACATATGGCTTCTCCTTTAATGATTTGTGGCGACATTAAAACTTTTGAGTGTTTTTAAGGGTTTTGTACGCTTTATTTGGAAGTTTCGCAAATGGAAACCACATTTCAGCTCCCAATCTCATTTTGCCGAACGATGTTGCCTTCAGTGTTGGTCATGCAAAGGATGGCATTCGATACCTTATTCTTCAAGTATGGCCATTCTTATTGTTGTTCGAACTGTGTCCCAGAAATCATTTTAATGATGTTCGCTCTAAATCCGTGTTTAGAAAATTCGTTTTTAAGGTACATTATGCACAGCCATTTGCTGGCGATGTTAGAGATTTCTCTGGTTTGACTTTGTACATGTCGCAAAAAATGCCAAGAAATCTAGCGGCCGTGTTGTTATTTGTATCAGGAGAGCCTATACCTCCCGGTTTGAGTCAGGTGCAAGTGAGTATAAACCAACAGCATCTTTAAAAGATTTATTAGATTTAATTGAGTCAGTTTAGATCAATATGAGTTGTGAGTATAATGGAGACATTGAATTACATCCATTTGCTTTCCGAACACATACCCATGCTATGGGTAGAGTCGTATCTGCTTATTATAAGCACAATGGAATGTGGAACAAGATAGGGTCGAGGAATCCACAGTGGCCCCAGGTACGTATGTTCTCGAAGTTTTCGATTTTCTTTCATCTCGAAGTACGATTGTACCTATTTCCATAAGAACACACCGGAGTACTGTTGTGTTTTAGTTATTCGAAATGATTCCAACTACACCTGTGATAAGAAAGGGTGATCTGCTAGCAGCTACATGTCGGTTCGATTCCCACGACAAAACGCAGCCAGTTCCAATGGGGTGGGTTATGTTTTCTTCCTGCCTTTGCTCAACTTAACTTCTTCATCTTATTTGGATGTTAAATCTAATTTTATCGATAATATATATCACTGCGGTGGAAAATTATGGAGCAAAAGTAACTTGATGATGATAACACAGCGTTTAAGGATAGTGCGATTGTTAATTATCACACTTCTGAACTAGGTGATGTTTATTCCGAAGCAAATATGAATGGCCCAAGAAATGGTATTGTTTAGAAGACACCATGAGTACTGCGTTTAATTAGTACAGATTACAATTAACTAGAATGCTCTCTTAGAGAAGTAGATGAACGTTAGCTTTCCTGAGATCGAATAGGTGTTTTCTAAGTGTCACCTTCGTTATTATATCACGTGATCTGTTGAAGTTTTCACCGTCTCAACACATTTGACGTCTTTCTACACGTCAAAATATTATACGTGAGACCATTGCTAGGAAACTCAATTTGGACCAGTACTATTATTTAAGTTCTTACACGTCTAATATTAGCATCTTAGTAATCATTTGGTTTGCTGTATGTGAGAAACTTCTTTTTAAAATTCTTTTCATAATGCGTTTTCCTGTATAGTGTGCGAATCCCATTAATTGTTGCGTTCGATTCGTTTCCTCGCATCTATCGTCAACGAAACTCGTCGGTCTTTTTGTGTGTGAACTGGGCTGCTTCTTGAGGATTTTTCTTCTTTATGAGTGCCGTTGAATTCTGGCTAACTGGATTCTCTCTGAAGCCCTGAGTAATCAAACAGGAGGAGGGCGTGCGCTAGTGGACTGGAGAGTGTCACATGATTCCGCACAACTCTGTACCAATTTTTTGACCCGGAGGGAGGACAGAGGAGGGGTTGGTGAGCCCAGGGCGAAGTTGTGCCTGCACCGTAGTCATGATGGACGCGATCAGTACTACTGCAATTCCTGCCGTTTAAACTTCGTTTGTTTATTGTTTTATGAGAAAAGTGTCAGTTATTGGCAACTGAACAGTTTTCTGCTTGACCATGATGTGGCAATGTTCGTGGTTGTCGATCTCCGCTACACAATTGAGGCGGAGTAATGTAGGCTAACGAGTTCCAAATTTTCATCAGGAAGCTCGCAGAAGAGTGCACCGGTGTTGGAGGTGCTGCCGTTGTGGAAAACTTCCTAGTTGTTGATCAAAGGTCTTCATGTAATTTAGAAAGGGACATGATGGCCTGTGCAACGATTTGGAAAACCTTATCCAATTAACGTAATTTTTTCAGAGTGGTTAAAACCTTGATCTGTTAAAAAATGTGTTTGTATTCCTTTGGCGCTCGCTATTTGCCTTCCTGAGCTACGAAGATAATGAATTATCTTTGGAATCTGCTAGTGCACTGTTAGTGTCGTAAAAAGATCTTATGCTCATGATTGCTTGCATCTTCTGCGATCTACTCCGGCTGGTATGTAATTTCGAGTTTTTCTGGACATGCATCTCGTGATCTTAATCTTACAACTTTCACCAATATCATGGTGTTTAGTATATCTCTTTTATTCCTTATCGATTTCTCCGGTAATAGTGTCTTCTTTAAAGGTCTAAACAAATCTAAATATACGATGTTTTTGGGATTTCGTTACTTAAATTTTGTTGCTGTCCGTTTTTTTTTGCGGGGAAAAAATCGTTGCGGAGGATGTTTTAGTCTGATTCAATGTAAAACTTTTTCTCGAGCATTAATTAAGTAAACGTTGTCTTCGGCCTACTGTTTTTTCCTTTTATTTCTAAATGGATTCTCGACTAACCGAGGCTCATGCATCCAAAGTTGGAAGAGGATTTGCTGCAGTTGTGGGTTACCGTGGATGGTGTTAATTACTATGAAAACTCAAGGAACCGCTCACTCCTTTGATACCATTTAAATTGCTGGGTCTTGATATGAATTGTAAATGATGTATTGAAGTTGGAAATGATGATGTTGTAGAGAGTTTGATTTTTCTTGTAGAACTTCTTCATGTCATTATAAGAACGCTTTGACCACGTATTTTTGGTAGCTTGATGTTGGGGAGGGGAGCGATTATCTTGGTTCACACTTTTTCAACTGTAAGCATCTGGTATATGTAATTAATTGTTCAAAGAAACCGACTTGTATGAAAATGCTGATGTTGACCAGGCACCGTTGCTGCCGAATCCACTATTGTCCAATCTAATCCTAGTATAATTCTGCTACCATAGATGTTTTTTGGTACCTAGTAGTAAGTGTGAGGTCTTAGCCGCCCCGTTGACGTCGCCCTTAATCTGCTTGGCCCGTAATTTTGTCCTCAATGGAGGATTTAGCTTGTCATTATATGTGCAAATGGTCGCCTTAGTGTAAAATACGACCTCAATGGTACTAAGACATAAGGAAAACTCGGAACGTCAAACGTGATTCAAACCCGCTATTAACCCTACCCGGGGGTTCACGTGCTATACACCACACCAACCGAGCCCCTTGCTTTGCCTTTTTGCGTATATCTTAGTATCCTTGTGGTTGTAATACACATAATCCTCTGCCATAAAAAAGAACAGGCAGTAACTCCCACGACCGACTTTCTATTAACCTCGGCATTGATCAAGTAATTCTTCGTATTTTTGTTAAGCAAACGCGAGGTGTTATTATTCTTTATTCACGAATGAGCTGACGTTTCGGCGGATTTCGCCTTCCTCAGCCGCTTTCTATGAGGTCTCCACTAAGTATGTCACGTAGAGACCAACCGCACAGAAATCACATGGAAGTATAATGTATACTTAGTGGAGACCTCATAGAAAGCGGCTCTGAGGAAGGCGAAATCCGCCGAAACGTCAGCTCATTCGTAAATAAAGAATAATAACACCTCGCGTTTGCTCAACAAAAATACGAAGGAGAATAGGCAGTAATTAAGAGTTGGAATTGGTTGTTGAAGTTGGCTAATTTGAAGCCATTGGAATTACTTGGCTTGATTTTAATAACTTTATCAAATCTGTGTGCTTAAACGAGTAGCTTGTTATCTAATAGGAAGTTCTTTTTCTGGTAAAGTGTTATTGATTTTTACCCATTTTTAATTCCTTTCTGTATCATTAAAATTTAACTAAATTCTCATAAAAAGTGAATTGGGCAATCGAAAACCCCTCCTCTACATTGTTACACTCTATAATATTTAACGGTTTATGAAATTTAACATCTTCAGTTATTTGATTTTTATAGAAGCATGGGTACCAATGAGATGTGCAACTTCTACATGATGTTCTACTGGGACTCAGCGAATGAAAATCCGTTTCCTTGGGGTGCCATATGTAACGGGAAGGAGCGAATGGTATATTATCAGATACGGCCTTCGAAGGTTTTCTATTCATTTTTATCCATTATAGAATGAGGTTAGGTACGAATATCCTAAAGAAGGAACAGAACTGTTGCCTTCTAATCCTGATCTTGAACATCATGCACATCAGAGTAAGGTTAGTTTTAAAGTACCGTATTCGTTTTTATAAACGTCTTTGACGCATTCACATTTTTCCACAGTATTTTGACCAGAACTTTTTTCTCGTTTGTGTATTATTTTCACCAATACTTGCAATATCGTTCTAAAGATGTGTTGCCATAACATGCTAGTGAAGCCACCGTCATAGTAGAGAAATATCTACAGATTGTGTCCACTCTTAGAGTGGCTACTTCTTTATATAATACTTACTTACTTGGATACTTAGCTGGCCCGTTCTCACTGGTTGTGCAGGCGCTAGCAGAATTTCGATTCTCCGGAGTCTTGTTGGTTTAGCCATTGTGATTCAGTGGAGTTCCGAGGAGTGAATCCCTCCGCTGCACATCGCAATCCGTTACCCAGGAACATTTTATCCAAAACTAACTTTCTTTTAACCTCGGTGTTGAAAAACAATTCAATGTTCTCTTGATCAGCAAACACAAGGTTATTATTACACAGCAATTATTCATTCTCAGTAGCTGACGTTTTTTTAGGTTCCACTCTCAGAGCCTGGAAACTATCCAGTTAGCCAAATACTTTCATAACCTTTGAGGATGAAGTTTAGTACGTAATTTTCTACTCGCATAATAAACAGCTTCATTCGAACACTCACCCCACAGAGTCTTACATGTGCGAGGAATATGCCTGGTTCAGTCCAAAAACATATACGTGGGGAAATATGGGAAAATAGCTACATTACGAAGTGATACCGAAAACCAAGTAACGAAAATATGCTGGTTCATTAACTCTCCTCTCATCCCTCTGTCATAAACAGGGAGGGCGTTTGTGATAGACATGTTGCGATTGGCCACAAGTGTGTGCAAAGGAAGAGAGCAGAAGAAGGAATACTTGAAATTGGTGATGCAAATAGCCGTTTCCAATTCCCGTGAAACTGTTGCTTCCCGGAATAAGTGTAGAGGAAAACCACGCTCCTAAACGATAATTCTAGCAAGGATAAGGTCCCGCGATTATCCTGCCCTTCCAACAAAATAAGTGCAGGTATAAACACTGCTTAAAAAGGGCCAGTCTAAAGAATTCCGTGGCTGAAGTACCACCGAACACTCAAAGGCACCAGCTACTTTGTAACCGCCGTTATCATCGTCTATGCACAGCGAAGAATTATATAATGAGCCCTAACAGTAGACACGGTGATTGCATGAGTGTGGCGTACCTAACCTCTAGTAAAGCATGTGGAAACAAATACCTTGGCGAAACGTGTAGACCATTTCGCATCCATAGAAAGGAACACCTAGTTGGTAAGTTCAAACCGAAACCAAAAACTTAACTGCGCTCGCGAAGGACACAGAGACGACATAACAGAGATTTTGAAGTAACAGTCGCTATCTTCACACAGTAATCGAAAACATCAGTGCGCACCTCTTGAAGCGTTCTGGATAAATTCCATAAATCCTAAAATGAACCGCAAGAAGTTCAATGTGACAACCTAGCGCCATGCCTGAAACTGATTTTTGACCTAATCCAGACACATTCCTCACCCATCTATGATTCTGTGCAGTTGGTCTCCACTAAGCAACTGGAAAACTTACGAAGAACAAAACCACGGTTGTTTTGTTTATTAAGCGAGTGAAAATCTATGTATTAAATTTTATCTGCGGAGGTTAAGTCTTTGGCTGAGTAGATTGTGTGTCAGTTTGATCATCCCCTGCTCTGAAGAAGGCGAAAGCGCCGAAATGTCAGCTATTGTGCGTGAATAAATGATATAATAACAACCTTGTGTTTGCTCATCGAGTAGTGAATCATTTCTTTCTGTTATATTCTTATGAGTTTCATTCTGTTGAACAGATTTTTCTGTTAAACGTTATCCATGAAGCCTAGTGCCGATATCTTAGCCAACACGATACACCATGTGTGCTTTCTTATCAACGCCTTCTATTACAGGTGCCATTCGGAGTTGTTGAAGAAGGTGCGTTTTCTAGTATTGGAGATGTTAAGCTCGGACAAGTTGTCGGGTTGTCTTTTATACACAACAACGTGATTATATTCCACCGTGCTAATCGCGTATGGGATATAAAGTATGACTTAATCAACAATTTCTGTAATATGACACTAGCCATTGTGAATGCAATAACAATATTTAACACGTCGCGCACGGTATGAATTGATTCCAATGCGTGCTTTCCTGGGTGTAATCTAGCCCTCAAGTTTCAAAGCGCGTCCCTCAGCTCATACTGAAATTAGCATTTGAGAAAACCATTAGAACATAAGGATCTCTGCCAATAAAATTCAAATTTACTGATCTTGCTAAGTTGACATTCTGGTATTTAAGGCCAAAAAACCCTTTTATATTGTTTTTTTGCCATTCCACCTATTTCTAATGGCGAATGGAAGAAGTCGAGGACATATATATGGCGTATATATGTGTGTAAAGGATAGAGCTGTCGGCGTTGATCAATCCGTGAGAGATGCGCCATGCATTCGATTTCATTAAGCATCGTTGGAGGTGATTGAATGCATATTCGACCTTTACAATGACTCGCTGTGGCCTACCGATATATCGAGCCAGTGCTACTATCATTCCAGACAAGTTTGGTACCAATTTGCCAACCCCGGAGGGTTGGGAGGATTTGTGGGCCATGGGCGCGGGGATCGATTCCACGTGTGTGTTACAGGACGTCTCCGACCACTGTGCCACGCGCGCCATATATATATACATACGTATATATGTATATATATATATATGTATATACATATGTATATATATACACGCATATGTATACATATAATAACTTTGTATGCATCATCAGTCTGGTCTAGTGATGCACATAAGGTTGAATAAATAGATATTTCTTTTAAACGTGCTTTCTAGCACATTCGATCAGAATAATGTTCTGGTGGATAAGACGCCCATAAAGGAGGATGTTATTCTGATCACTTCAATAGAAGGAAATCGGACTCGCATAGTGAAGAAACTCGGAAGAAACAAGTATGTTCTTTTAGATATCCAAAATTTAACACCAACTTTGAGTTTCTGTTGTAGTCAACCATGACTGAGTAGGTGGAACCGGTCCAGTGGCCCCTTATCATGTTGCTTAGCGATATAGGGCACGCTACGAATCATATGTGATCCATAAGTGCGCAGTTCCGCCTTTGCACGTTGAAGAAACACATATAAGATCATAGAGAACTTTGTTAGTTGGAATAGAATTTTTCTACAAACTGTTACCAGCAGTGTACGAGTTTTCTTCTTTTATAACTGTGAAATTCTGATTTTTCAAAAGGTAGATGGTCGCATTTCAAAAAGCTTTAGGATCGGTCTTATGAGATGTTCTCTAGCATAATGCCTTTGGCTGCCGAGTTTGCAATGAAAATCTTAAAACTTTGATTCCCATTCTCAATTTCGTAAAAATTTTACTTCTAAATAGTTTCAAACGTAGGTAATCACTCCGTAGAAGTTATCTATAGCTTTTACACAACCGGGAAGAACTATTGCTGTAAATTTACCAAGTTTGCAATTTTTAAAGCATTCTAATTATCCAATAACTTTCATCTGTTATCAAAATTCATCATCGGTCCATATTTGTTAAAGGACCGGTTTTCCTTCATATATTTTATAAAATGCCTGCAAACATGTTTTTTTTAAATCAGGTTTTACCTTCCGCATGGCATTCATGTGGACAAACAAGGTTTCCTCTATACCACAGACGTTGGCGCACATACAGTAGCGAAGTGGAAAATCAATGGGGAAGGTTGAGTACTATATGTTTTATTTTGTTTGATATTCGCTAAGCGTTAATGCAGACATAACACAATATTATTAGCTGTGCGGTATAATTCTTTACAAAACTTCTTTCGATTTACATATAAATCACAGACCTCTGGTTTTTTACGGATTTTTCCTGATCTGAGGGTGAATTTTGCTTAGTTACGTTTTAATCAGAAGAGAAACAGCTTGATAGATGTTTTAGATAAAGCATGTAAACAAAGGAACTTGTTCACAAAATCACAATTAGTGAAATGGCTGAGAAATTTCAACTAATAAGGTGTGGTATATACTAGGAGGAAAATAAGCCTTGTTTTTAAGTGCTATGAGATTATGGCGTTGAAATTTAAAAATTGTGCATGTTTCTACCGAATGGCTCAGTTGGTTTAAATTCTCAGATTTTTTACGTGGTCAGGATGCATTTCTCTATTTCTTTGTATTATTTACTGTGTAACGTGTAAGATGTGTTTACTACAGATCTTGATCTTATATGGGAGAGCGGAGAAAGACTGGTACCGGACAACGGTCCTTTCCACTTCTGCAAGCCCACTGCCGTTGTGGAGCTCAACGAAGATATTTTTGTTTCTGATGGCTATTGTAGCAACAGAGTTATACAGCTTGATGGCGCGACCGGCAGGCGAAAAGTAAAAAGTTTAATATATTCTGTACTAACAGGAAAAGAGAAGAAACATGGTTTTTCAAGCACGAATTCGGTCAGCCTGGTGATGGTCCATTACAATTCAATCTTCCGCACGATGTTGTGAGCATGGGAACTGGTGGTTACTTATTAGTTGCGGATCGTGAGAATGGTCGAGTACAGGAATTATCCACTCGTGGAGATTTTATCATGAAATGGGTTTCCAGGTAATTCATGTTTGGAAGAAGGAATGTTTTTTCCATAATCGAAGGATTGTTTTAGTCTCTTCACAAATATATATTCCGTTGATGCTCATGATGAATACATTTATATGGTGCCTGGCCGTAGAGATGAAACTGTGGGTAATCGTTTTGTATTTATAAATTCTTCGTTATACAAAAGTTTTCGAGAGGAGAACGAAACGAGGAAGCTAAACCAAGGAAGGAGACGAGAAGAATGGAAATTCGGGAGTATTAAAACCACATGTTTTCAGGGTCCGATTCATGTGTACGTGAGCCGTGCTAACGTTGGCTTTGTTGAGTACAGTTTTGGCCCAACTAGCCGTTCATTCGAACAACCACATGTTATACGCGTCTCTCCAGACGGACACCGCATTTTCGTTGGTGACGTTGCTAAGGGAAAATCTACTCTTTGGGTGTTCCGGGTAGGACATTTTGTTTTATGGCAAACTATCAAATCTGTTTAATATTGGTATTTATTGAACAGTAATTTAGTAGTAGTAGAGATAGAATGCATTTGTATACCAACTTAGTCATATCTAGCTCGTCACCGTAAGTTTGAGAAATACTGTTGTCAGAAGAAATGCTTACCTTCTGGAAGAAACTTTTTTCCTTCAATTTAAATTGAATTTCATATAATAAAATTCAGTATGTCTTTGAATTGTTCAGCTTGCGGAAGGTTGTTATGAAACTTTTATTCAGCTAACATTTTGACGTCTTCGTCTTCCTCAGAGTCGATGAAAATGTTGATAAAGCTGGATCTGTGGTAATGCATGACCAACTTCAGTTTTTGCGTAATCGATGTCGCTGTTGTCTCAGAATTCTAGAAGGGACCAGACCATCGCTTCCTCTGCCGGATTCCACTTCTCGCGGAAAACAGAGAATAGCGCTAGCAGGAAAAAACGAAGCCACAAAACCGCCACAAATTGGAGTTTGCTTAGATCATTTGGTTTTTGGGAAGATACTGTTGTTGATAACATCGACGAGGAATACGATAGGCTCATTCGACATCACGGTAGCGCTGTGAAAGTTGAAAGTTCGAAAGTCACCAAGAGGCGCCTGTCTCCAAAAAAGCTCCAGCTCATACCCCAGCGTGGAACCCCACAAGCTACAGTCAACCGCCAACGCACGTCCGAACTTGTAAAACAACGCGGGCTTGCGATAAAAGGAGATCATAAAGGAAAAACAGCAGCAGTACTGGCTGGAGCTGCAGAGGTTTGGAAGATCATTGGCAACATCTAGTGAAACTTAGCAAGTTACCAGACTAGGATGGGGCAGTCAGACACCCAGAGGGATGAGGCACGGTTTCAGGAAAATAAATGGGGAGAATTATCCACAGTTACTACTCGGAACTCTTCAGTATTTACGTCCTCGTTCGTATAAGATTATGTAGGATGAATATGTCGTCCCACCTGTTCTTATCCGACATGCTGTTGCAACTATGGCCAAATCTGTTTACTCAATGTCGTCTATAGACTCCAACAATTCCCAACAAAAGTGACAGTGAACTGCACAAAGGAAAGCACCACCAGAGATCGCTTTGAACTGCCAGAGTTTCCGCTCAAGTTTACGGAAATTCTTCGTGAGCTGTAGAACGAATTTGCCACCAAAATACAACTGTTCTATTACGGCATTAACATTGACGTCGTACGGCTAACCTTGAGAACGTTAGTCGAAGATTGGAATGAAGCAAGAGCCGAGTGAAAATCAATGGCTACCAATTCCATCATGTTCACTTTACTGATGATGTCATACTTGTAACACAAAGCATTTAAACCAGGAGAAAAAAAGCTTGCCGACTTTGATAAACCATGTGAAAGAAGTGGTCTTTGACTAGTTCTCACAAAAACGATGTTCATGAAGAATGAATTGGTTTCGCATGCCCCATTCACGCTCAACGGAACGAATATCTCCGAATGCTAGTTATGTCTATCTAGGTCGGGAAATCAATATGATGAGCGACCTAGCTCCAGAGCTGAGCAGAAGGAAACGTGCGGCTTGGGAGCTTTCAAGAGCATCGAGGATGTAGTGAACAGAACAAAGAACACCCGACTCCGTGGCCATCTTTTCGACTCAACGGTGCTTCATGCATTAACGTATGCGTTAGAAATCTGGTCGCTGCGTAAACAGAATGAAAAACCACTGAGTTATTGAACGCGCTGTTGCAAGGACGATGTTAGGAGTATCTTGTGCCACACAAGTGAGAGAAGTGATCCTAAGTTCTGTTCTACGTCAACGATCAAAAATCGAAGACGCCGTTCTATACGTCGAAATGTCGAACTACAACCAATGGACAAAATCCATTAACGAATGGATTTCTCGGAATGTTGAACACACAGGAAGAAAACAGTTGACTTTAGAGGTCACAGTTTTTCACGGAAACCATGAAGGAAGGATATGATGCTCCCCGAGACAATACAGCTAGTGGAACTCACTGGGCTACTCTCGCAAGCGACAAAGAGAAATGGACAATTTTACTGGCGCCCAGTCGAGTCACTCGGCGATCAACGGCGCGACAAGTAATACAGTTGGAAGTTCTCGAACTAAATAAATTGTGCTATGTACTTACTGCTTATTTTTTTCAGGAAAATATTTGAGGTAGAAAATTTCTTTCCTTTTTCCTTGGGGAGGTTTTTGAACGAAGTGAAATCTTCTTTGAAGTGTCTCATTAACACCACTACGAGTTTATTATTTATTTTGTAGGTTGTTTCGGAACAGGCCCAAGTCAGTATTCAAATCAACGTTTTTCAGGAACATAACTGTGAGCACTTTCATCCAGTTCTTTGATGGTGGTTTCGCTTTAGGTACAACACGAAGGCGATTCTTCAGCGTTGCGTGATTCATCAATATCACATTCGTCTCATGTGACGTCGACAAAGACTAGGAACACTGGTATTCTGCTTTCGCTAGCTTTTGCTGCATTGGTTGTCGGATTAGCCGTGCTTTGCCGTCGACAGTTAACATTTATCATCAGTCGTGGTCAAGCGAACTTCGATAGAAAGGTATGGGATGAGAAATGTGCATGCCATATTTATGTTTTGAACTACTGGGACAAAATAACCGCATGTATTTTCAATACCGACTTTCATTTGACCACGGCATGGATAGTTATTACCTTGGTTTACTAATAACCTTAAACTGAGTAGTCAGGTAATTCTTGTGGTGAAGGCACTGTTAGTCGCAATGAGTCGTATTGAGTCGAATGGAATAGTTCTCCAAAAAACAAGAACGTTATCGGTCAACTATCATATGAAAATTTCTTATGACGACAATTCCCCTTGTAGCAGGTGGAAGCTAGAACATAGCGAAGCAGTATTTTCAGTACCGACTATATAAAATTGACATGGATAAATCAACATGTTGGTTTATTGGTAAGACTGCACGGGGTTGCCATTTATATCGCTCGCACGATGCTCCACTCGACTTAACTAAAAACTTGTAGCAGCTTCGTTTGTTACCAATAAACATAGGTATTGATTATTGCTTGTATTCATGGAGATGCGAATCGACGCTAAGTACATCTCCTTTGTTATATCATTAAAATAAACGTGCCCGCTCACAAATCCCTTGTTTTCCGATAGTGTTTCTGATTTTCAACGAGATCTAAGCCATATTGCGTCGACATCGAAAGCTTGAACACTTTCTTGAACACAGACGGCGCAATTGCGAGTTTCCTTGTTTACCAAAACAGTCATGTTATTTATATTTGTCAAAAGCGTTGTGTAGAATTTTTAGACTGAAAGAAATTATAGCCGATTTCGAACGACTTCTTTAATTTCTATAAATTTCTCCAAACGGGACTTTATTATTTAAAATGTGTCCTACTAGAATGCAAACAATTTTACCGACAATATACAAGTTTTGCTGAGAGAAAGGCAAAGCGGGGGCGTCGATGGTGCACTGGGTAACGCAAAAAGGTAATCGCAAGTTCGAATCTGGCCTAGGATCCAACTTCTACAAATATCTCGTCATCATTGTGGTTTTATCTCACATAATACGCTGCCGTTAAAACGTTATAGACAGTAAATACAAAAATTAGCTTTGTGGTATGCAAGTTTATTGTAAACTGGCTTTCATTTAATCTCGGTACGAATGATCAATGTCTACCTTTATCCTTGATAAGCTGACACGGTGTTGGTATCAAGCTGTATTCGGGTAACGTTTTGGCACCTTCGGCATCTTCAGAGCCGGATTGATCTTAGTCGATTGTCCAGACCATTCGTCTTTGCGATGTGAATCTGCGGAGTCGCGTCGAGTCGGATCTTCTGGAGTAGTGCACCGCTAATCGCACTGCAACGGACAATCGGCCAATCAACAACCATCTTGTATAGGAGGACCCCACTGAATGAGGAGACCTCACTAGACTCATCCATGAGGGCGGGCAAATACCTGTGATGAAGTTGTAGAGATTCATACCTCGGATATCGCGAATTTCTGGGTAGAAAATACGATCTATCAGATTCCATCATTTCAGTGAAAGAAGATGACGGTTCGTCATATCACCAGAGTTCATGCGAACAACTGAACTACTATAGGTTTGAGTTATAAGACAACAAAATGATTTGCTGAAGGTAGCAAATTAGAACGGGCAATTTCAGTGTGTAGGTTATACTAACTAGATCATTAGTTTGTGTGCTATACTTCATATTTTTAAATTTGTGGTTATAAGAAGTGATGTGATGGATATATTCTATTTTGTCTTAGTATGCATTATTATTTTTATATAAGGGCGAAAGAGACCGTAAGTTTGTGAACTAGATCAACGTATGTAAAAAACAAATATCGTCCTTGAGTAGTCATCGATTACGACTGCACTGTCAAGGTGCTTGAGTTCTAAGAAGGCTTCATGCACGGGTCCACCAAATCGTTCTGGTTCTCGTGCTTTGTGGAACACGAGACACGAAATTTACACAGGTTTCGCCTGGCGTTTCCTCCGCCGATGACAATGATCTTGGTGAGAACTGAAAGATATTCATTAAATGCTTGATGGCGCTAGTGTGCTCGTAAAAGAGGGTTTTCTTGAACAATGTTAAAGCGGAGTTAAGCTGGTACTTCTACCACATAGATACCCATCACCCAACTGTAAAGCAGAACAATGATCAGGTTAATTGAGACAGATTCCGTGCGCCCCTATCATTGTTATGTAGTGCAGGAGAGATTGAAATAGCATACTGTAAGGAGCTCATCTACAAACTGTTAAGACGATCTGTGCATGCGTCTATACTAATCAGTTTCTCCGGCTGGCTGTCGCTTTGAGAGAGTTCACAGAGTCAGTTTTCCGATTTAGAGTTTTAATTTGTCACGGCTACCTTCCTCAAATGGCCTCGATCATTCGCTAGGTTTTCTACACGCTTACTTGAAGGATTTCACTTCCATATAGCCATAACGTTGCGCGATCTAATTTTGGTTTTTTGTATGCTCTGACTGTAACACTGCAAATCAGCAGTCCCACCGTTCTGTTATGCAG